GTTATACGAGAAATCACCCAAACCCCCACTCTCACGGGGCTTTACTTTGAGTGGGAGCAGAACAGGCACTCGGGCAGGCTGGGCTCATACAGGGGCGAGTATGCTCCTCAGCCTCCATAGGACAGCTGCAGACCACTGGGTGTGCCCCGTGAACCCAGGCAGGTCACAGAGGCTCTGCCCAGGTCACAGATCGAGGAAGGAGAGCAGAAAGAGTATCCACTGTTCCAATCTGATTTTATTGAAAAGGAAACATACAAAAATCATGTACAAAAAAAATTAACCAAACATGTACAGAAAATTCATTCCGGTATCTACAGCAGCGCATATACAGGAATTTACAGGCTGGGCCATCCCTCCCCGCTCCCAGACTCCTCCCTCTTCTGAGATTCCCCCCTCCCTGACTCCCCATCTTCCCCCCAGCGCTTCGCCCTGGGGACTAAGGCTGGGGCGGTTTCCGCCAAAATATCCCACCCCCCAAATGAATGCCAGTGGTCACACGTGCTCTCTCTAAACCTATGCAATGGGATTGATGGGGCGAGGGGTGGTCGCGGGCAGAGCACAGGATTCACAGTCTGGGCCCCTCCTGGCCACCCCCAGATGAAGGTGAGGCAGGCATGCCCACCACCCGCCGGCTCAGGGAAGATGGCTGGGTGCTGGGCTGGGGCAGCCATCAGACGCACCCCATTCTCTGGCTCCAGGAGGCTAGTGGTCACGTTTGGCTCATTTGTTCTTCACAGGCCCCCTCCCCAGGAGGAGGGGGGGAAGCACCAGGGGCCTGAGGCCAGACCCAAAGTGAAGGAGCACTGGGCGGGAGACCCCCCCAGTGTCACCCCTGCAGCTGGAACGGGCAGCCAGCACCAGCAGCCTTTCCTGAGATGGTGGTGGGCGGCAGAGGCGGGCGGCTCAGTCCCGACCCTCTCGGTCACCGCCGCCTTCAGACGCTGAGTCCATCAGCCCTCTCTCCCCTGGCTTCTCAGCCAGGGACCCAGGAGTCCACGTCTCCGTCAGTGCACCCCAGGCTAGGCCGGGGCTGGGACTGAAGTGGCTGCCCTGGCCCGCCCCTGGGACAGGCAGGGCTGGTAGTCCAGTATGCTACATGGTGCAGAAAATGTCCCCTGCTCTGGCCAGGGCGTCAGGATGTGGGAGGGTCCTGCCCCCCAAGTCCCCGACGTCCACAGGGCAGGTGCAGGCACCTAATTGGGCTCCATCTCCGGGGCTCCGCGGCCCCTGGGTAAGGGCAGCAGTCCCATGATGAGATTGTACAGGACCCTCCAGGGCGAGGGGCGGTGTTGCTGCTGCTCCTCTTGTCTCTAGCAAAAGAGAGAGAAGAGGAAGTTAGAGAGCGGGCTCGTGACGGGGGCACAGTGGGTGGTCAGGTCCAGGGGCAGGGAGGAGCAAGGCATGGTTCTAAGAGTGAGCCACACCCCCAAACAACTCTGAAGTAGGCGCTATTATTGTCAGGCGGGCTCAAATCCCAGTTCCTCTGCCCATCTGGGCCAGTGTCGTCACCTCGAGGGAGGACAGCAAGTGCTCAGTGCATGTTAACTATGATCTTGTCACCGATTTCCAGATGAGACAGTCACCCAACCAAAGTCACATGGGGCTGAGGGGTGGGGCTGGATTGCAGCCCATACTGCCCTCCCCTAAAAGGCTGGGGAGATGGAGAGAAGGGAGCAGGGAGCCCATAGTCTCAGCGATTCTAGAACAGTCTGTGGAAGGAGGAGAACTGGGAACAGTTCACCACCTGTGCTGAGGCTACACAGAAGTATGTCCAGGTAAAGCTGACCCCTGCTCTCTTTCCAGGGGCAGGATGAAGACTCGGGGTGGCCTCTAGGACCCTCTCAGCTCCAAGAGTGTTAGGAAAGTGGGCAAGAAGGAAGCTAGATACAAGACTCCCACCAGCAAAAATGAAAGGTGAGTGACAGCACTCTCCCACCCCCGTCCTGGGAAGAGACACCCATCTTAGAGATGACAGCAAGGTCACATCACCATCCTAATGATCCTAACGGGTGCCTAGGGTGGGATGCCTGGTACCAGACCCTGCCTCCTCATCGCTCCCCACCAATTCTTGTAGCCAGGAGGTAGTAAAGGGGGCACATCAGATTGGCACAAGTTAAAAAGCCTGCCACCATTACATGGTTTCCAGGGGCTACATGGCACAGCCCCCTTGGTGAGCAAGCTGGCAATCATTTAATAAGGCTGAGGGTGGGCAGACCACCCAGGTGTCACCTGTGCAGACACAGGAGTGCACCTGAAAATGTGCATCATTTGGAGGAGCCAAAAAAAAAAAGTCAGTAAGTGAAATTTGAAACATTTAAAAAAATCCTAACGACCCAACAATGGGTACATGAACATGGACACTGTATGTTGAACCAGTGGAAACGAGTGAATCAAAGCTCCTCTGCCCACGTGGATGAAGCTCAAGTACAAACTGAGAGGGAAAAAGTTTGGAGAGAAATACACACTATATCATATACAGGGTGCCCCCCGAAATGTATACACACTTTGAATAATTATAAAGGCAGTGTTTATTAAAACACTTTTCATTTTCAAAATGTAATAGAACCAGCTGTTCAAGTGTGTATTCACTTTTGGGGACACCCTGTATATTACGCCAAAAACACCCCGCCGTCCTAAGCATTGTTTGTGGCCTAGTAAATATGGAGTAAAAGAATCAGCACCTGCAGAGGAATGCGACAAGCCAACTCGAGAGGCTTCCTTGAGAAGCGGGGACGGGACGGGACGGGTCACGGAGGGGAACAAGGGGCTTCGCGACATCCGGTTTTTGTTTTTCTTTAAATAAGCGGGCAGTGCGGGTGTCGGGTTCAGGCTGGAAGAGCCCGGTGGGCACCCTGATGTTTGTTATTCTCTATTCTCCGATGTAGGCTTCAAATATTTTGTTGTAATCGGAGGCGAAGCTGAGGGCTCCG